GCTGCCGCCGCTGGCTCCGCGGCGACAGCTCTGCATTCTGCACCGCCGCCGCCTTGGCACCGTGCTCCGCAGCACTCCCTGCCTGCCTCACCACGCTCCCTCCACACTCCCTGCCTGCCTCGCCGCTGCTGCCACAGCTCTGCACTCCACGGCAGCGGCTCTGCACTCTGTGCCACTGCTGCCACGTCTCTGCGCTCTGCAGCGCTCCCTGCCCGCCTCGCTGTACTCCCTTCATGCTCCCTGCCTGCCTTGCCGCTGCTGCCATGGCTCCATGCCGCCGCCACCACCGCGGCTCTGCGCTCCGCATCACTCCCTGCCCACCTTGCTGCACTCCCTCCATGCTCCCTGCCCGCCTCACCGTGGTAACTCTGCACTCCATGGCGCCGCTGCCACCGCCGCAGCTCCATGCTCTGTGGCGGCAGCACCACTGCCACCGTGGGCCAAATAAAATGACTTGGCGGGCTGCATGGCGGCCCGTGGGCCATATGTTGGACAAGCCTGCTCTAAGAGAAGAAGGGAGGGAGTCTATTCTGTTCAACATGTATGTCTTCCCTGTCTCCTCAGGCTCTCAAATCTCCTGTGTGTTGAAAGCAGAGGCAGCTCTAGAAAGCAGCTAATGCCATGTTTTTTTCTTCAAGAAACATTCAAGGAGTAAGAAGCACGTTAATCTCAGCAAAAGGAACCTTCTGTTCTCTGCTTGGCCTTATGCAAGTCCCGTTAGTGCTGTCAGCTCCCAGTTTTTACAGGAGGGAAAATGTCCAGTTAGAAAGGGTGGGATGTCACCCAGAAAAAAATTGCTTACGTTGCACAAGCATCTGTACATTCACAAAATAACAGCATTTTCTTTCTTCAAGAGCAAGAAAATACATTTAACCATTGTTTTGGATTTTTTGCTCTCCCTGGGCTGCATGAGTCCATGCACAGGTGTTGGGTAAACATAGAGGTTTAAGATGAAGAAATTGACTTGATGAAATGTAGTTCTCGAACTTGGGTCAAGCCATGACCTCCTTTTCAACCACTTGCCATCAGATCTTCACTAATGTAACTCAGAAGCCTTTATGGCAGTTCTCATTGCATGCTCCACAGGAGGTGCTGTACTGTGGTCTGCAGCCCCTCCTCCTTGGCAAGCTTCAGAGCAGAGTAGTGGAAACTGGTGCGATGATTTACAATATGAAGTTGGCATGCAAGGAAGCTTGACTTGAAGTGACAATATAATCTTGCCTGTCTAATCCTGTCTGTCTCTAGCCTATTGGCAAAGCAGAGACCACATGCATAATGGCACAAGGAAAAGCAAGAGATTTAGTGCTTGCCCCAGCTTCCCCATTCTTAGAGGGCAGTTCCTGATATTTCAGCCCACAGGCCAATACTGCTGTGGTGGGATGTAATAACAACTGTGCCTTGTTGCAGACCTGTTTGGCTGCTTACCTTGTGCAGATGATGGACTCCATGTTATTGAAC